TGGATGAATTGTCTTTAATTGGGAATAAACTTTATAAGAATATTAAGGATTTTATTTTACCTTTCCATCTTTAAACCATTTCAGATAAAAATTTTCCAAGTGTTCCACCATCCTCTTCTCTTCGTAATCTTCAAAAAGGGTTCCAATCTAGCAAAGACAGAATCCTCACAATATTTGAGATATGTTTGCCAGTCCTTTACATGTTCTAACTCCATATACCTAAAAACATCAAGTTCTTTAACAAAGTTACCATAGAAGGAAAATTCATATATCAATAAACTAAAAGTGCACATTCCATCCACTGGTTTCACAAAAAATAGTGTTAATAATCTTCTAACCCTAACAATATTAGTTTTATTACCCCAAAAATATTAACACTATACCGTTAAATGTAGACAAAAAGTTCTCAAATAATGATATTTTAATATAATCATTTTTGCTTTTTTTTTAAAATTAAACTTAATTTGTTAGAAAACTAAATGCATACTTTTGTTTATAAGTAGTTTATGAAATAAAAAACTAAAATAAAAGCTTCAAGAAGTTCACATCATATCATTTTGGAACCCCAGTGTATAAGGAATGAAGGTGGCAAGGCAACTTGGCAGCTTCCTCTTCAAGTTGATCTCGTTCAAGATTTAAATCCATTGAACATTTCTTTTTGCCTATAGAACCACTTGTAGCCACATTAGTAGGCAAACTCCTCTCCCAGAATCCAAAACCATTAATATTATACAACATCAGAATGGCTACGATTATAATTGAGAGAACACATAAGCGAGTTGGAAACCTTGACTCATTTATGGATAACCATAAAGCAGGGGACAAAGACCATTCATAGATAAGCATTGCTTTAGGAAGAATCTTTTCATAAGGAAGCTTTAACTATCGGATATATCGACTAGCTATCTCAAAAAAGTTCACAGGAGGCATCTCCAAGCCTATTGAATCAACAATTGTTGCAGTCAAAGTCTCAATGTTTTGTGGCAAAACATGTCGTGAAGGTTTGAACATTTAATCTGAATTTATAGGGCATGAACTTTTAGATGGCCCCATACGCTTCTCAATTTCAACATAGGCAGACAAATATGGAAGTTTTCCTTCAACAGCCCATTGTGATATGTCTATAGGCAACACTGCCTCATTATTCATGTGGCAAACCAAGAATGAAATTGCCATAGTACAATCCAATGGAATCATTTTTCTTAAAGATTTGTATCATATCATTACAGCATATTTACCAAATAAATTGTGAAATTTTCTTTTATGTTTCACACATAGCTTTTGAATGTTGTCTTCAAACCCTAAATAAGCAATGAAAATGAGAAACATAGATATGCACAATGATAGGGAAGCCTCGAAAATTAGAAAGCAATTGATATAGTTGCAAAATATGCATATTATATCCAATGATTAGTACTTTTAATAATCAATGATCATAAACGGTTAGAAAAAGCCTATAAGTCCAATCTTGATGGATAAACTTAAGCCTATTTCAAGTAGGGCACAAATAGAAATAAAGAACAACATGGGGTTAGTATGTGTAATATAGTCATTATTGGATAGAAGGGAGTTTTTGCATGTTGGGGACATTTGTATAAAAAGAGGGAAAGTAGATCCGTTATATACACGCGGTAAAACAAACACTTCCACACTTAAAACTTTGATCTGCTCAATCCAACTACTCTTTCTTTTCTATATGTATAACGTAGCTATGTACATGTATATGTGTGAATGTATTAAAGACTAAAGTAGATTTTGCTTCCCCCATCCCAACCAATGAGATAATAAGTGAGTATGCATGGTGTCATTCTTATTAAGCTAAAGAAATTTGGAGATCCAAACCCCAAACAAAAATCAAGATTCAATCATTTAGAATTAGTGTGCTACAACATATCATGCATGATGAGGTGTTTCAATGGTTTAAAGAGCTTACACAAGAATGTGACAAACACTATGATATCACTAAAGACATATTATTTCACTCAATCTAAGTGTAGCTGTAAAAATAAGTATTACCTACAACTTGTTGCATTTCAAACTCGTGAACAACTACATCAGCCCTATCATAACCCAAAATATTAATCTTCTCTACATACTTTAACCAATATTCTGCAACTAAATTACGTATCTGAGGATTCACCTTGAACTTTTCTACTAATGTTTTGTATTGAAGTTGCAACATAATCTATGAGCCCATTATATACCTGAACCTCATGCTATTGTAGTAATCTTCATAGCTTAGAGCTCTTGTATTACTCGAACGTCCAAAATCATCGAGAACCGAGGGGTCATCTCTTCAGTGAGGGAAATGATCTTCCAAGCCTAAGGCCTTAAACAATTGAGGTTGGGAATCATACAGGGGGTCATACTAAGAAACAGGCATGACTTCTATTACGGCAGTATGCTTACAACGGCAGTCGATCCATTAGATGCTGCCAGGAGCCATGTCCTCGTCAGGCACACCCATGTCAATGAAGTCCTCTAATTTAGAAAAGCATCACACATAATAGAAAAAACCATCATCTCCACTCTAAAGGCCTATTTGGTCACAAGAAAGTAGAGGGAGGAAAGGGACAACCTTGCAACGAAATCTCCTTAAGCTCTTGAAATAAAAATTCTCATCTTGGATGAGAATCATGAACTTTTTTAGAATAAGTCTTTCTCCTTCTTCCTTCTTCCTTGGTGGTGGTTTTGGATCGATCGGTAAAGGCTCCAAGATGTATGGTAGAGAGTGATCATCATGGAAACTCCTAAAGTGATTATCCTGTAAAGAATTCAACAAGAACATAGTAGTATCTTGTCCTTCACCAAGTATAATGTATGAATCAAAATGCTTAAATCTGTGGAAGCAACTCATATGTATGGAATTGCACTTCAAAGCATATGATGTGAGAAGTCTAAAATGAGATTCAAAAGAAGACAGGTACTTCTCACACCTAACAAAGTCAATCAAGTCATCCGTAGGCATATAGCATGCAACCTTAGGCATCACACAATTAACTTGGTTGTCATTAATGGTAACATCACAGTCAAGAAACACTCTTTCATTAATAACATCAATTAAGTCAATAAAATCCAAATCTATGTCCAATCCTAGTACATCAGGGGGCAAATTACCTGATAAGACTTGATAGTAAGAGTGATGAACATGCTTGACATCATCTAGCAAGAGTGTGTGATCATTGGGTACACAATCATGCTCAAGGAATTCAAATTATTCTAAAGAGTGACTAGCAATATGGAGTGCACTGTCAATGGAAGTAGTAAGCATGCTCAAGTCAACACAATAGTCAAGAATAGGGGAATCAAACTCATGAAAACATGAATTGACTTTAAGACTAGTGGCCAATTTCAAAGCATCATCTTTATCTTCACTCTTGTGTGAAGTGGAAGATGCAGAATCCAATCTAAAATTGGAGTGCATCACATCACTTTCAGAAATGGGGGGAAGAATAGAAGAAGAAGATAAAGAAGGAGAAGATGTCTCATCAATACATATATCATGCTTATCACTAGGTCCTAAAGGCAATTCGTGGTTAGAATGATTATCTAAGTTCATACAAGCAGAAAGCTGCTCAATATCTTGGCAAGAATTATTGCTCAAAGGATTAAGGTTAGCATAATTCTTACTCAAATCTACATCTAAAGGTACAATATTGCTATCACGCTCATGCTCTTCTAAGCTACAACCATCAGAAGTAATAGATATGTCATTATTAAGCTCAAAGATGTGAGGGGATTCAGCATTAATTTCTTCATCCACCTCTTCATCACTTAAAGCAGTGGATGAAGAGTTATTACCAAGAACAAAGGATGCAGTTTCTGCATTTAGAGCGTGCTCTTCTTCATACAATGATTTATCTTCTCTTCCTTCAGATTCAATCCAAGTTACGTGGTGTCTAATCTTCTCCATGATTCTAACATTCTCCTCTAGTTCCTCTTCGAAATCATTTGACAATCCATAAAGCTCTACTTCTCTAAATAGTTTCAGGCTATATGAACCCAAACAGTCATAGAGTCTTCTAAGAATATCAACCTATTCAAAGTTTGGAATAGCAAAAGGTAAGGTGCAATCAGCTACACTAAAAGAGTTTAACCAAACCATGAATCATGTAAACATAGATAGATTTAGCGTAAATTAAGAAACTAATAATTAATTTTGAATTTGAATAATATCTTAATTGAGATTTGAATATATTGAATTAAATAGAAAGTATCATAATTAAATAGTATGTCAATTGAGGGCCTAAATCGATAAATAAATAAATAAATTTAAATTTTCATATGTTTTCCCTAAATTTCGCATATCTAATTCAAATCTCATGTGAATGAATTAAAAAAAATCATACTCTTATAAGAAGCGAACACTGATTAGAATTTAAAATCTAATCAAATATTCTAGTCCGTGTATTGTACGGGAGAAAAATTTCTAGTTATTACCTAGATTTTGTGAGCATGGTGGACTCTTCTCAATTTTATTTCTTCCATGGAGTCATTCAATATCGGGATGCAATTTGATGAGGCTTTGCCTTAGCCAATATCAGCCCAAGAAGCCACAACAACAGCTGAGCTTCAAGCTGTAGAGTTTCTAAAACCAACTTTGGATCAAATTGCATATTCCCTTGGAGTGAAAAAACTATTAGAGCACTCCAAGTATAAAACCAAGACTCCATTGAATCATGAGTTGTTGGAACTTCTTATATTATGCTGACATCCTTTCTTGGGATTTAAGATCTGATGCCACTACTTTGAAGCGGAGAATAAGTTTTGCAACTTAAGGTGTAGAAGATGTCATGGACAATGTAATGCATCATATAATAAATCCTATTGTGAATTATAGGGACACTAACAACTACCCTTTTGGTAGAACTCTTGTGGTGTTGCATATTGCTACTACTCTTTGCTATACTGATACACATGATAATTACAGTGGTTCTTTGCGTTAGTATAGTAAACTTCTCTTAGATTACATGATATACCTTCATCGTATGCAACCAGATATGCTGTCTCAAGTGCCTGGAATTAAAGAAGACTGGGAACACGAAACTATGGTGCACGCATCCATTGAAAGTGAAATTGTTGAGTTCTTTGAACATAATGATGTAACATCAAAAGGTCTTGATGAAGGAGAGGCTAGTCAATGTGTTCTAAGCAATCCACTAGATTATGATGATGATAATTCCTCACCACCATACCCAACTGTGCTGTTTTTGGCACGTAGCATGGCCTAAGACTTTTAAAAATTCCAGTTGGACCGCAAATGGAAAGCTATCTCCAAGATATGGGTTTAGATCTTGACATTTGCTGCAACTCATTGTGACCTAAGTATTCATGTCAGACATCTTTTTAAAGGTAGAGAACTTATTTCCATTGTTAGAGTCGCCGTCAGTAGGGACTCTGCGTTGATCAAAAAGATCAAGATGAGAGTGAATGGAATGCAATGAAATCGAAAGTTCTTTAGTAATGAAATGTCTGGTAAGTATTGAAATAATAAAAAATGGGTTAATAAAAAATTTTATGTTTGGTTGAATGAAAATGGGTTGGAAAATTGTACAATTTTGCCATATCACTCTTAATGAAAGAATATAATATTATGAGATAAAAATGCTTTTCAACTAAGAAAAATAAAATAATAATATTATACTAAATATGACATATTATTAAAAAAATAATAATTAAAAATAAGTTATAATAAATAATAATTTAAATAAATACTTAAATCTAAATATTCAATAGAAATAGTAAAATAACTTTAGATATCAACTGATTAAAAAACCATTAAATAACAAAAAAATATAAAATTTATTTAAAAAATCAAAGAATCACAACTCTTTCTATAGTCTAATTTATTTGTCTCTATTTTTCACGTGTTGAATAGAATATAAACAAACTCACATAAACAAAATCAATTTAAAGATGAATTTTTAGTAGACATATCTTTCTTAATTTAATTACAAATTAGGCAAATGATATATCATTATAAAGCTCATTGAACCTAATATCTAATGCAGTAAGACCCATTCAAAAGCAATTTTTATTTTTAAAGTTATGTTGAATGAAATTTAAGCTTTAATATGACAAGAAAAGAAGCAAGCAAATTCAAATTTTCTTACACATCAAATTTGAATTTGCTGAAGAAAATTTGAATTTCTTACATTACTTTCAAATTTGCTCAAACAAATTAGCATTTTATGCAAAAAAAAATGAATATAATTGGATCAAATTCAAATTTGCCTTTTCCAAATTCTTGTTTAACATCCTTTGTTTGCCTATGTTTTTCTTAACCGAAAATGTGAGAGACGCTTGATTACCAGTATAAGCAATTGTTTCACTTTTTAGTAGCATTTTTATAGTTGAGGATTGCATCAGATAATTTGGTGTAGATCAGGATTGTCATTGTGGTGCTGTTATATGTAGGCGTAAGCTGGGTGTTCGACTGTTCAAGCCTAAAATGGGTTTTGATGCAGCATTAAAATTAGTTGCATATCAGGTGGTCTCATCATCTCCAAAATACATAAGCAAATCCAGTAATGTGGATATGGATATCCAGATGAAAAGTAATAGTCTAAAATTAGAAAAGGACGTGGAGGTGGAATAAGGGGAAGGGAATATTCATAGGAGAGAGGAGCTCAGAAGGGATATAACTAGCTTTTGGAAGGGAATATTCATAGGAGAGAGTAGCTCAGAAGGGATATAACCAGCTTTTATGCTTTTCATAGAGGTCATAGATTAGATGCCCAGCATTTTATTCAAATTTCAAAGGTAATATGATATTTGACATTTTCCCACGTGTGATGGAAAATTGGTTCCCACCAAAATTGGTGGCAACTGATCTTCCCTTATACACTAAAAAATCTGCAGCAGTAAAAAAAAGGTTACTAAGAAATGTTCCAACCAAACACATACAACCAATGGAAAATTAACATTATCCTTTTTCCATCGCAAGATTTTGATATAAACTCATAATTTCATCTAATATCAGTCTGCATGATTTGGTCACAGATGATTTCAGCTTAAAGATTGTTATGTAATGTTTTTTTTGTTTGTTACAATTTGATTTTATGTGAAGGTTATATTATTATACAAATTTAGTTATCAACTGACATCCACTGATTTGTTAATAGCTTCCCATCGACTTGTTAATCCACACCCATGAGTTTGTCAATTGGGAACAAAGATAATGATATAATTTTTTATTAAAAAAATATTATTTTCACGTCCCATGAGACCTCTTATTTATTTTGAGATTTCAAGAAACCTTAGATTGATAAATTGTGTTGCAGGGGATCTGTGTATAATTTTTTCTAAAGTATATATTGGGTCCTCTAAGTTTGCCTCAAGTTTAAGTTATTTGTCCCTTAAATTTTAAAAGTGCATTTTTAGTTCTTTAGTCCTAACACTATTAGTCTTATTTAATTGAAAATACTGACTCTACAAATTGAAATAGTAATTCTACAGATCAATGCTAACAATAGATGCTCTACATTATAATTCTTTAATATAACTATGTTTATGAATGCTTAAATTTTTTATATTTTGGTATTATTAAGTATTTATCATATATCTAATTATTTAAATACTTAAATTTTAAAATATAAAAATGATTACAGTAAAGCCAGCATTTTCTATTAATGAGATTATTGGTGTTAATATATTAAGAGACTAAAAATACAATTTATATATTTAATGGACTAAATTGAAACTTAATATAAACTTAGGACTAAATGTATACATCAACCATGAAATTATTATTATAATAGTATAATAAAATTTAATAAAGTTTTTTTTGTCAAAAATAAAAGAATTAATTCATTTGTAAGTTCATGGGTGCAAAGCACCTTTGAAAATCATATGGTATTTAAAGTATTTTGGCTAAAAATTTATGAATATTTTTATAACTTTATCCTTTTTGGGTTTTTTTTTGAGTTGAAGGTATTTTGGTACTTTTATAACATTGGTGATAACCCCACTACCAAAAATAATGGTCATTAGGCAAACTTAACAGCTGTGTCAATTTTAATTTTGTTTTACAAGTTTATGGATACTTTTGTATATCCAAAAAATAGGGGTATACATATATCAGACCAGACCGAGTTAGTGCCTATCCTGAGGTCTATTCTAAATTTACTTTGGGCTAAATGAGATGGTCCGTGGTTTGGCCTAGTTCTATATAAACCCAAGATCAGGCCAAACTAGGTTTGGTCCACTAGACCATTGGACTAGTCTATATAGTCCTAAATCACATAGCCGCTAGGGAAGAGACAGGAAAAAATTAGGAATAGCAAGTCGTCAGCAACATGAGAAGAGATCGAGGGGAGAGTTTGGAGAGAGAGAAAGGATCCAAATGACAGAGAGGAAGAGGAATCTTGAGCTTATCAATTCCTACACAACCGAGAATCAAAGAAAAAGAGGAACAACACTCAATAGTGATAGAGAAGAGACAAGAAAACAACAATAGAGAAGAGGCAAAAAAGAGCGATGTGTCTCCTCTTTACTCTTATGGAAAAAGACACTAAATACCCTCAAAAATATTAAAGGACAAATGAGGATAGGTGAATTTTAAAATTTCAATTCAAACCCCAGGTACCATTTTGGAATTTTCAAATCTTGTGAAATTACACAAATACCCTTTTACTATTTTTTTACTATTTGTTTTAAATACTACCACCTCAGCATTTCTGGCCACTGGAGCTCTAGCGGCATATCATTGGAACTCTAATTACTGGTCGCTAGAATTCTAGTGACTACTTTTTCTTATATATTGACTACTCTTTTTTAATTATTGATTGCATTTGTTTTTAAAACTCTGATGGCTACTCTTGTTTAGCTACTGATTACTTTAATATTGTGATTGATTACTTTCATTTTTAAAATTCTGGTGACTAATGTTATTTAGCTATTGACTATTCTAGTTTCGCTATTGACTACTTTTGTTCCAAAAATTCAAAAAATGCACTAAGTGTTGTTGTATATCTAGTGACTACTTTTTATTTAGTTATTTACTACTCTTGTGCAATCAATACCTATATAAAAATTGTCACCAGAACTTTGAAAACAAGAGTAGTTAATAGTTATATGAAAGTAATCACTGAGAGTAAGGACAGTGTTGTCATTTCACAATATTTTAAAATTCCAAAATAGTACCTGGAGTCTGATTTGGCATTTTGAAATTTACCTACCCTCATTTGTCTTTCAGTATTTTTGAGAGTGTTTTAGTGTCTTTTTTCCTTATTTTTATTAAAAAATTTGTAAGGAAAAAAATAATTTTTAAATGCATTTTCTCTTACATTCATGGGCCTTTTCAATGTCCAAAGTAAACAATCAATGAAAGAAAAAAATTCTCTCTCTTCTTTTTTGTTTTTATTCAAATAACCAATTAAAAACACACGCTTTCTTTGTAATGATAATAAAAGGTGAAAACAATGAAGACTAGTGGATGAGGGGGTTGTGATAATAAAAAGGTCTATTATTCCTTCATTTTTTGTAAAAAATTGAGATTATTCTAACCATCGAAAATAATATTTACTAGGAGACAGAATAGTCATTTCATCAAATTCTTTTCATAAGAAATGATGTTTAGAAGGAGAGAGAAGAGTGAACTCTCATTAGATTAATTGCACGGGACATATTTTTTTGAAGAGAGAGAAAATACAAAGAATTGGCAAAATTGGAAATGAATATTTTTTATAGGGGTTCAATTTGTGAATAAAAATTAATTATCTTGCAAGTGACTTACATTTTAGAATATCCTATTCCTCTAGAAGCTCCTTATAATGTGGACAGGAGGAAGTATATTAGAAACTCACCTCCCAATCCGAAATGGTAAAATATATTATAATATAAATTTAATAAATATATTATAATATAATATATATAAAAATATCGGGCTAGACTGAATTAGACTAATAACTTAGTTTGATCCTGTTAGTCCACTTGTCTCATCAAGCTGCTTTTCTCTTCAATAGATTAAACCAGACCAAATTGGGTTAAGAAGGGTCAGATTAAACTTCCAAGTTTTATGCACATCCCTAACGAAAAGTGTATAGTAGTTAGTATATAGTATTGAACACACTTTAGGTAAAATTTTATGGGCATCTCTAAAAAAGGCAAATAATGAATAATTTAGATTTGACGTGCAAATCAATTCTCGAGAATTGATTGAGTCATTGATATGGATGATTCATTTTTGTCTATGTATATAAGGGGGGAATATAGAATGATAGAACACACATCAAAAAGAAAATTGAGTGGGAAGATTGAAAGAAAGAAGGGTGAAGCAAGAGAAAGAAAGGTAGAAATCACTGTTCTATTTCTTCATTCAATCTCATCATTTAGAATTGATATTTTTTTTTTCCATATGGGTTGTTTAGTAAGAATGGGTAGTTCATAGTTTGATGAAACCTTATAGAGATAACTGTTAATATCATACCAATAAACATCTCTATTCTGGCGCGGTCATGGTGGTGAAGTTCTCCTTTCTCTCTTTTGTCTTCTAGCGTCACCAAAATACATCATCAAGTTCCCTCAACTTTGACCTTTTTTCTAGTAGCAATGGCTGTTCCATGTGTCACTCATATCGACATATTAATGGAAGAAGCCTTTCATGCTCGGTTCAGTTTCTACAATTTCATTCCTATATCTTCCTAAATTACATTCATGCTTCTCTTCTGATTTTGTTTTATCTGTCTTCTGGAATAATATATACCTTCAGTTCAGTTATCTGATTTCAAGTTTTAGTCAATTGGGTGATTATGACATCGTCTTTTGTCACCATTTTACTCGCTTTGCATTAATATATATGGAATTCACAAAGTCCAGATGCCTCTGGCTCTCTGAGCAAAGCTGGCTCGATGCTTTTCTGACTTCTCTGTATCTTATGCCTGCGATATGTATTTTCTCATCCTCTGTCCGTTATGATAGCCATGTATTTTCTCTGATAGAATTTTTTTCCCCCAATACAACTTCTCTTTTAAGCTGTACAAAAAGTAGGTTATGTGTGTTTGATTCTTAGGGACACCTTATAAAAAGGTTACAACTAAAGGTGTGATAATCACTATTTGGTGAAAAGTTGTGTTATAGGAAATCCTATATATTAGAAGGATATGACTCTTCATGAAAAAGTTATTTTCAATAATCTTTGTCTATTAAAGATATGATAGCTCATGAAACAACATATGATTATGACTTAAGAATTTGTCGGTTCATGAAATAACACAATTATGACTTGAGATATGTTGTGTCAAGAGACAATTTCAATGACATTACTTCATGGTTTATAAATATTTACAATTAACATAACAAACATCAAACGCATTGCATTTATTGTTGAGTACACTAAAGATAAAGTCAAATTCTTATTACCCTAATAGCCGGTTTGGTTCTTTTACATGTAATGTCATTGCCTCTTATCCTAATGCATTTCACTATTCCTTTTGTTTGGTTGGTCCAATGTAAGGTAAAAGAGATTACATCATGCAATGTAGATTACATCAACTGCTGTAATGGGGAGTACATTCATAAACCTATGTATTCCCTATTCCCACTGTCTTTTTCCCATAATACCTATCTCTATTCGTGTGCCCTTCCTCCCTCCTCATCCCCTTACTGGTGTCCTCCACCACGAACCTCATTCACCATCTTCTCTTATGCTCAAAAGCGTCTTTCTCTTTGTCATAGTTCACACCTATTCATAGATCTTGCTCCACCGTCATTCATCTCCTTGCACTACCATTGTTCCTCCTAGTTGTAGATTTGGCTAAGATATCGTCCTCTTCCTCCTTACACCACCTTTGTTCTTCTCCTAGTCTCAAATCTGAAATTAATTTGAATTAGAACACTCATTTAGTTAATATTTATTAGTTAGATCTTCTTCTGATCCTCATCTTCATCTTCACATTAGTAGTAACTTATGCATTTTTCCATATTTATTTTCGAATACTCATCTTCAAACTCATTGGTCAGATTGTGGCTCTTTCTTTGGGTTTGATTATGTTGTGGTTTGTGCTTGATCTATGATGATGATGTTGATCATGTGGGGAGAGTTTTTGTTGTGATTAAGGGTAAAAGAGTAATTTTTTAGTTAAAAAATATATTCATCCCATGACATACCAAACAAACCCTTGTAATCCACATTGCATTCCATTACATTCCCAACTATTATATTACATTACATTCCTATAGATTCCATGAACCAAAAGGGGCATAAGAGTTTTCGCCAACTGTATCTTGAAAAAAAAAAAATCACATCAACCCGATTTGCATCCTATAACTGAAATAGGTGGGAAGGGATGAAAGTATTGATCGATCATTCACTTCTTAATTAAAAACGTTATGTATAACTTTTTTTTTTAGTCTTTTTTTCTTATACTCTTCAGAAAACTATTGTTACCGACTTTAACCATCTTAGAATCATGCAGATATAATTAAAAGAAGAAAAACAGAGATGAAGAGTGAATCCATTGAATCATTTGCTATGAAGGGAGGAGATGGTCCTCAAAGCTATATGCTGCAAACTCTACTTCTCAGGCATGTGATCTTAGTTTCATCCAATATTACTCCATCAGCTTCTATATAAAAGAAATTGTTTTTTTAAGAATAAGATGCTACTATTTATAAGAGATATTAATAACTTGTTAAAAAATTTTAGTACTATTTTTAATTTTTATCTCTTTTAATCATTAGTTAGTCCCACTACATTAATTATATATTTTTAACATATTTATTATTTTTAATCAATTTTAACTACTTTTAATCTGTGTAATTCAATCATTCATACATATGCAAGTTTAAATAGCATATAAATCCTTATATTACATTAAATTTGTTAGATGGTTTTTAATTGTCATTTTACACATGTAATTCCTTTTTATTAAAGTGATTATTCCTTTCTCTAATATTTTATTCTTTATCTTTATAATTATAACGTTTATTATTATATCTATTTAAACATATTAAAAATGACATGCAAAATATTAATTATCAGCTACAGTTATACATTTTTCCTTCACAAACACACACACACACGTTATTGGTTTTGTCAATTTTTTCTCTCTGGCCAAAGGTTTCATCCCTTATTGGAAGAAAAGTAATCTAAATTGTTGTGCCAACTTTACCTAGCCACAACTAAAGTTCCAAAAAAAATTAAATATAACCACATAATCATATAAACAATAATGTGTACAGAGATCAGCAGTTGAAGCAGTCAAGAACCCTCTCCAAAGTGCGATTGCTAGCAAATTTGATTTAAAAACCATTTGTGCTTCTTCTACAAACCCAATTTGCATAGCTGACTTGGGGTGCTCCACTGGACCAAACACCTTCATCAAAGTTCAAAACATAGTAGAAGCAATACGAATCCAATGCCAATCACAAAATCAATCTACCCCAGAAATCCTAGTCTTCTTCAACGATCAAGTTTCAAATGATTTCAACAGTCTCTTTCAAAAGCTTCCTTCCAATAGAAACTACTTTGCATTTGGAGTTCCTGGCCCTTTTTATGGACGCTTGTTTCCAAGACAAAGCTTACATCTAGTTCATTCATCTTCGGCACTGAATTGGCTATCTAAGTTGCCCAGAGAGCTTACTGACAGAAGCTGTGGTGCTTGGAACAAGGGAAGAATTTACTATACTAATGCTCCAAGTGAAGTTGAAGATGCTTATAAGAGACAGTTTAAGATAGATTTGGAGACATTTCTGCATGCCAGAGCACAAGAGCTAGTGAGCAATGGATTAATGGCAATTATGACATGTGCTGCTCATGACGTGATTGATTTTAATACAGATTTGTATGCTGGCAAAGAACTTGAACTCTCGGGAAGTTGTCTAATGGACATGGCGAGATCGGTACGTAATTGCGCATATTTTTTTCTACTAACATTCATCAGAGTAAAATATATTAATAAGCTCTTTGTGTTACTTAAATTACAAAAAGTTTCTTTCTATTTTGAAAACATATATAAGCCTCCATTAAAATTAAAATGTATGTTATACAAAACTCCCTTATATATTTGAAATTTTATTTTCATCTATCCAATTGTTAATTAACGTTAAGCTTCACTCTTAAATTTTTGTTTTGACAAATGTAGTCCTATTTAACATGAGAATTATTTAAACATCTATGTTTGCCAAAAAATAGTTTTTATACAACCAAAAAATTTCAAACTTTATACTAATGTTATAAAAACTGTTAATTTTAATTATATTATAAAATTTTACAATTTTAATTTTTCATCACATCCATTGAAACTTATTTATTTAGATTTCTTTGAAATGGTTAAAAACATACTTTGAACGCATATTTTTGTTCATCGTGCGTAACGTAAATGATACTCATATATTATATATATAATTTAAAGCCTTTAAACACAAATTTTTTTCACAAACATCCATAAAAATATTTAGTTAAATATATATTTAATAGTATAATTAATCAAATTTTTAATCAAGATTTTTATGTCTAAGTTAACTAGATTACTTGAGCTTCTGTCCCAATATAACAAAAACAATAAATAGATAACTATTTGCAAAAATAAAAAAGTTAGAGAAAACTTTTATTCTTCAAAATAATTTTAGTCAAAATTAGGAATTTAGTATGATAAAAGGTATAATTAGTAAATATTCTTTTGTAGCTTGAATTTAAGTGTATGTTTTTAAAGTAGAGGAGAAGCATGTTTAATTAAGACAAAATGCAGGGGGGAATTAGAGAAATTCACTCTATTTGTTATGTAAGCTTTTGAGTACTAAGACATCTGTTAATTATTGTCATTTATTGCTAAGTAAGAGAACTTAAATAAGGTTTTGGTTTTGGAAACGATTCTTATAATTGCAGGGGCTAGTAAGTGAAGAAAAAATGGACACTTACAATGTGCCCACATATTTCCCACACCTGAATTATCTGAAGAAAATACTTGAAAGTAACGAAGATTTAAACCTCGAGGAAATAGTCGCAATGGATAGAAAGTTTCTACCAAACATTGAAACTTATGTTTCCTCAGCGAGGGCCGTGCATGAAGTGCTCATCGAGAAGCATTTTGGAGATGGAGCTGTTGATGAGCTTTTTGAACGTTTTGCAGAGAAAATTATGGAATTCCCAGAAATCATTAATTTTGCGCAACATTAAACAGCATAGACTTTTTATTCTTGTCCGATGAAAGTTGCATGCATGAATAGATACAAGGGATAGTTACTACAAGGTCTCAAGAAAAGAATTTATTCATTCAAAAGTTCCATAGTAAATGAGCAGCTTGTAATAATAAGTTCTAACATACAAAGTAATAACAAGTTTTAACTGTTCACTTGTCGTTAAGACTTTTTAGTAATTATATTTTTTCAAACCTCAATAATTCTCCCTAAGTTGACAGATTTCAACTCATGTTAAGAACCTATGCATCGGTACAGCTCTTCCCTTTTGTCAGTGGCAATAATAAGCCAATTAATAAATTATGAGACGTGGTGATGCTTATTAATGCTTTCCCTCATTTTATTAATTTTGTATTGTGTTCTCTCTCAACTTAAGATGAGTGCTTAATTACCACTGCAAAAAGGTTAAAAAAAAAATTAACGGATGTTGAAACTAACTCGACTTATTAAGCATGCCATTGAAAAATACCAACAAATTTATCAACTTCTGCTGGTTTAAAAAACTCACATAGTTCTTTACCAAAAAAAAAAAAACCCTCACATAGTTGCACTACGTATGTGGCTCTTGTCATTTGAACAAGGGTGGCGTTATGTTTTCTCACAACCTAATTATCTTCATAAAAAAAGCTTTATTTAAACACATGCAAGTTTTCTGTTAAAAAAGCATGAATGAAAAGCTATATATTTGTGTATCAACATCTATCCAAAGCTATATATAATATAAAATTTATAAGAAAACATATGATTTATAAGTCCTAAACATAGGACTGACCCTAAATTTTATACAAAGCACAAGCCCTCACAATCTTGTTGGAACATTCTAACTTGGCCAAATTAGTGCATCTGAGCCAAAAAATAATAAATAAATAAAAGATTGTACTCATTACGATTATAAAGTATTTACAGAATGCGAACATTCAAGGTATAATATCAATTATGAAATTATGTGAAACCTCTATGAAGATCAGAGCAGAATGTTGGCATTACTTCCAGTTATTTTAGTTTAGGGATCTATCATCACACTTCAAACCTGTTACTTCCAATCAAGCATGTCCAATAGCCACAGGACTTCTTCCTTGGTTTTTGCCACATCACAGAAATCCATCTGTATACCAAACACGTCCATGGCTCCATCATTTCCATCTCCCATAAATAGCAGAGAGATCCATGCCCGGATGCCAGACAAAAAGGGATATGCAGGAGATATGTCGAGATAATCAAAAGCCAGGGGCCTGTAAGATGACTGATCAATGTAATCAAACATAGACTTAATAATGATGCGAGCAACCTTATTTGAATCCCTCTGCCCAGCCAACACAGAGACACTAACTGTTGCAGTCTGGTTCGAAGATACGGTAATCCTAGGTTCAACAGGGAATGTCATCTTAAATTCAGGGGCATCCAAGTGATGTTTAAGCATTTCACAAACTCCAGGAGATGGAATTTTAACTCCTTGCCACAGCACAGAGCCAGGAACCGCTTCCGAGAAAAGTAATCTATTTTCAGCCCAAATGTCAAATAAGAACTCCAAATCTTCAAAAGAAATTCTGGGAGGGAGAAGAGTTTTTCGACGCTGGCGTTTATAAAAGCTTTGGTATAACTTATAGTAGCTCACAGTTGGAGGATTAGGTCGCTTGTTGATTGAGGGCCATCTCTTGGCACAAAGACATTTTCAAAAGTAATCATATCGGGCTATGTCCCTCCAATGCTTACATACTACCATTTTGAAGCAAGATCAACGCCCTCCAGCAAAGGGAAAACAGCTTTCATAACTTCTTCAGGAACCATCTTTAGTTTCCTATTACAGTTGAAAACACAATGAACCGATAATAATACACTGCATTAAGGATCTGAACATTAAGAATATTATGAGAATGTAATATGCAAAGAGTGACAAAATTATCAAAATGTGTAAAGACATGAACACTTAATTTATAGAGATAGCTAATACAAACATATCATGCTTGATTTCAATATTAGCAGCATAACGTTGTTCAATCACACAATCAAGTATGCATAGTATGCAATCCCAGCCACCTCAGATTAGCTCATGTGGTCAAGGTGAGGTGGAGTACGTGTAGAGATTTAGACTTAAAACCCTCCTAATATGAATTAAAAAAATGTATGTATTTTCCACATAGAACTCCTAATTCAAAGAAATTGCAAGAGTCGGTTAATTACAAATTTGAAGACGCAATAAAAAAAATGGAGTAATTACGTCTATAAAAACACATACAAAGAGTCAACACAATAACGCATTCAAATTCCGTTGAATATCCATCAGAGAAACCACCAAGAAAGACCATGAATCAAATCAAACGAAAAACTACATCCAGTGCAATTTACATGGCTCGTTTAAATCTTAAAATTGCTATCACTCTAACCTAGCAATATGCACAAATATCTTACCACCAATCCCCTACACAAGAGTTAGTATAGTTTCTTTCAAAACCCCAAACAATAAACAAATCTCACCCAACTATAAATAAATTGAGAACAGAGACACATTTCCCTGCCAGTCACAATTCACGGGAATATAAAAAATCATCCACTTCAAAACCTTACGGAAGGCCAGTAAGTCCTCTGTTTATCAAGTTAGTTACCACAAAATCAAGCAACATAATCAGTTTTTTCACTAATCTATAAATATATCCATCACATTTTTTCCCACTTGTTGATTAATACAATGCAGCAACAGTTCATACACTGGCTGTTAACTTTTGTTAGGATCATCACCCACTCATCTAAATTGTGGCAAAGGAAATGATGATTTATTCATTATCTTTCCACCTTTAGGTGTTCCTGGATAGAAGTGCAGAGATCAGCAATTGAAGCAACCAAAAAGCCCCTCCAAAATGCAGTAACTGATTGCTTTCACTTGAAAACAACTTGTGTTTGTTCTGCAAACCCAATTCGCATAGCAGACCTTGGCTGTTCCACCGGAACAAACATCTTCATTGCAACACAAAACATAATAGAAGCAATACAACTCAAATACCAATCTCAATCTCAAAATCAAAAAACCCCAGAATTCTTTGTTTTCTTCAATGATCAAGCGTCAAATGATTTCAACACTTTCTTTCAGAAACTTCCTCCCAATAGAAACTACTTTGCAGCTGGAGTTCCTGGTTCTTTCTATGGACGTTTATTTCCAAGTCAAAGCCTGGATTTAGTTCACTCATCTTCATCATTGTCCTGGCTCTCTAAGATGCCCAAAGAGCTTACTGATAGAAACTGTGGTGCTTGGAATAAGGGAAGGATTTTCTATACTAATACTCCAAAAGAAGTTGAAGATGCTTATAAGGGACAGTTTAAGATGGATTTGGCGACCTTTTTACAAGCCAGAGCACAAGAACTTGTGGGCAATGGGATAATGATACTTCTGATACCTGCTGCTCATGATGTGATTGATTTTAGTGTGGACCTGTATGGTGGAAAAGATCATGAAGTTTTGGGAAGCTGTCTCATGGACATGGCGAAACTGGTGAGTAATTTGTTGTTTTGTTTTTAACTAATTTTTTTAATATCTATAAATTAATTATTTAGTTCCTACGCTTAGAATCAAAGGTAGTATTAGCAAATAACTGATAAGAATTTGATAGAGTCAAGCATGACTACGAAAATTAAGATTGAGAGAATTGCTTAATACCTCTTATTGCAAAAAGTTTATTATGCCAAGTATATGAAATGTTTTTACGCACCAAGGTGCAAGCAAGTGCCTTTTTTTTTTCTTTTAAGTTATACGCAATCTATCTTTAATTATGTGTAAAAAGAAAGATATTTGCATATAGCTAACGATATGTTACATACAACTAAAGAATGGTTACACTCACATAAGGACCTAATGTGTACTTTGGACAATAAATTTTGCACTGGAAGACTTTTCAACAATTTTCCCGTCAAGAATTTGCTAATAGTTTTTTTTTTTTTCAATTTTGTGATTGTGGGGACTTATAAGTGAAGAAAAAGGAGACACTTTTAATGTGCCCACATATTTTCCACGGCTGAAGGATCTGAAGAAAATGCTTGAGAGTAATGAAGATTTGAGTGTAGAGAAAATGGATCTATTAGATGGCAATAACTTGATAATTGAGCCAAACTTGGGCAGACATGTTTCTCAATGCCGAGCTGCTTTCGAAGTGCTAATTGAGAAGCACTTTGGTGATGGAATTGTTGATGAACTTTTTGATCGCTTTGCTCAGAAACTTATGAAATCCCCACAACTCATGATGTATCCCCAGAAGCTCAAACTTGTTATGCTTTTTGTTGTTCTCAAGGGCAAGGTCTGAGCATAGACATAGGTGATTAAGATATTAGTTATTCTCTCATGATGATGATGAGCTTAATTATGATGATAATGCAATACTGCTTTTATTCGCTTGTTGGACTTAATAATCATCATGAATGGTAGTGAAACTGTGAAGGTGACATATATTGTCTAATGTTTTTAGAGTTTGTTATATAATTTTGTGTTAATGTACTCCTCTTTTCATTGATTATGAAGTGATTTTTATTATGTTTGTGTCCATCTTATTAATATTATTAGCTGAGCTGAAAGGAATATCTGGTCTTTAATTATTAAGAAATTTTATAATATTTAAATAGTCCTACATGCATGTATCAGTAATAAATATATTATTTAATATTAATTTTATTTATTAAAATGCTGAATTATTTTATTTTAATGTATTTATATTATATTTTCAATAAATATTTTTGTTAGGAAAATAAATATCAAATGGAAATATTTTCATTATATTATATTATAATTTATATCCGTATAATATTTAATTTATTATATTTTTTAAAATATTTTTCTGTTATATTATTTGTTAAAAATTTATTATAAGATTAGGATGCTAAAAGTAACAGAAAAATAATATCAAGATGCTAGATCTACCTTAGATAAAATTAAGGTGCTGGATGGGCCCAAAAAATAGAAAAAATGGTTTTAAAAAAATCCCTATTTAACAAATTAATTTGAGAATAGAATCTGCAATAAATATAAAGTGTGGGCTCTACAAGTCTTAATAAATTTGATAGAAAAAAGACCATGTTACTCTGATCAATGCTAATTGTATGCGGGGATTTTTAACCAATTTTTCTTAGAAAATAACATCATGAATTCACCTTTTTTTTGGCCTCGCACCATGAATTAATGATGATCAATGCTATTGATTATTATTCCTTTCATTTTTTAAAAGATTTAAATTTTTGAATTGGTCTGGTAGTTTTTATATAATATAGTTTATGGTTCTCTTAATATTAAATACATTTTTATCAATTTTATCACTAATTTTTCATTTTCTTTTTTTATACATTTTTCATCTTTCTTTTTTATTATCTCTCTCTCACTTATTCTTTTATAAACAGGACATTTTTTTTAAAAAAAAAAGTAAACTTGAATTTTGTAAAAACACAATTTGATTATTTGTGTTTTATAAAAACAACTTGAAGGAGTATTATTAAATAATCAGAGATTGAAGTGATCAAGGATGGATAATAAATGTAGGTGTATTAAATGATGAGAATTAAAAATGAATCTAACACTCCAGTGCTAGGAAGAGATTTTGGTCCTTTTTTTTGTCATTTGTACTTCTTTTAATGTTTTATATCTAATTTTATTTTTATTAATTATAGTGAAAGTGAAGAGAGAGAGGAATAGTGAGAAAAAATATACTAGTATTTAATACTGTTATTAGTGAGCATAAAAGTGAAAGGTTTTATCTATTGGACAAAACTTAGATCCAGTTAATTTGGTCCAGTTAACCAATTAGCTTCTGCCACATATATTAATTGGACACATCATTGTTTAACACGTATTAACTCGTTAGTGAGGATTGACCGATCATGCGAGGAGGCAGTGAAATTCCCTCGAAGTCGACCTTAGACCAAGGAAATGCAGTTGATTGTTTCATATCTATAAATGTCCAAAGTTGAATGGCTAACCTAGCCAAGAGAGGGATGGACGGTGAAATAGCAAAAAGCAGAGGGAGAGGTAGAGAGATGCCAGCCGGGAAAAGAGGGATTGTTGAACTTGATGGAGGGAGAAGATACAAGGGTTTATGGCACTGCCATTTTGTATCTCAAGGAACCATTGACCTACCTTAATTTCCTTAACCTTTTTAGAAGGCGGTGACGCTAGCAGCGGCTTCAATTAGGAAGAAAGCACACAGATTGGTGCTAGAGTTGATGTGCTTTGGGCCGCTCTCCATCATCACTGCGTGCCTCGATGGCGCTAGAGTTGACTTCGAGGGGTTAGATAGGAAGTAGAAGCAATGTCTATTCTACAACTCAATGCTTGCTTCTCCGATGGGAGAGGGCCTAACATTCAGCATGAAGACAAGTGGCCTGATGAATGATGATTGACGGAGCCTCATCCCCTCCTGGTCCTGGCTAATATTCCCTTACAATCCGAAGGAGTTATGGTGTTAAATATAAATTAATTAGTTAGTCCCTTCTGTATCGACATAGTCTTCATTGTTGAAAATGTTAATTTAGAAGCTTCTTAGGTTGTTGTGTTGAATTTGTGAGCGTATAGAGATTGAGTGGAAATTAATTAGGATTTAGAGATGAAAATGAGGGGGCAAGGTGGAGGCAGGCGAAGGGGACAACATTGGCATATAAGGAGAAGCCATTAACAGTGTTAAATAATGATGTGTCCAATTAATATATGTGGCAGAAGCTAGTTGGTTAACTGGACCAACTTGATCTAATTAACTGGACCTAAGTTTTGTCCCTATCTATTTAATGCTCCCATTAGTGAGTGAGAAACTATTATAAATAACAAATAATAAGTATAGATTGATATTAAATATGTTACATGAAAGTTAAGAATTGTACTAGATGTGTCTCTTCATCTATATACTCCCTCTGGTGCAAACTCTAAAATATAAGAAGTTAGTTAAATTTTTCGTAAATAAAAAATTGGTAGTTAAGTCATTAAATATGTTCTAAAATGATAAAATTTCTGTATTTTAAGATTAAAGAATGTGATTAGAAAGTAATAAAGTATATATATTTTTAAAAAATACATCTTTTATTATCTCTCATCTCTCTCTTCTTTCCCCTATATTTAAAACACTATGTTGTAATTAATAGGGGCAAATTGAAAAAATATAATTAATTATCCTAACAATTTCTTATATTTTGGATCATAGTTTCCTTTTATATGATGGATCAGAGGAAGTACGATTATGTTTTTAATCCACTTCAATCCCTTCTAACCCTACTCTAATTCACACATTCAAAACCAAAGATCCTTCTACCGGGTCATACTTAGTCCACGGTTGGTGGATTAGATCCCAAGCCCAATATAAATATATCCCTTGTGTTTTATAATTCAAATTCGAACATCTACTTGTATTTGAGACGTGAAATACTACCTCTGGTCCTTAATATAAGATCATGTTTGACTTTTATTTTGATCCTAAATATAAGACCCCAATCCACTTTGTCTCTCATATTTATGTATTTTTTTTCAAAATAGTCCTTCTAATGATGATAGTCCTAACCAATATAGTTGATTAGTAAGGATATTTTAGGAAATGCAATACATATTTATTACAAATAACTAATTTAACTTCTTTCCTTAATCTCCTCAAATTAGTCAACTGGGTCTTATAATTAGGATCGGAGGTAGTATATACGATTGAGAGAGTCAGTGTTGGACCCTGAAGAATAGCGCCCGTGCATCGTCTCTAGCGGCTTCTCTCCTCTTTCATTTAAGAGGTGCATTTACTGTATAATCATGTATCGTCCATAAAGTGATTTTACATTGTACGGGCATAACATATTACTCATTAAATTTTAAAACTAACTTTTATTCTAACTGGTTTTTGCAAACTTAAGTTAGAGTAAAAATCTGTTAGTGTAATATGATTTATGTTTAGATTGACGTTTATAAAAAATCAGTTTAAAAAGTTAAAATTTGTTTGGATAGATAATTAAAAAGTAAATTTAGATATAAAATAACTAAAAAAAGCATAAATTTTGTTAAATAATTATGTGTATAATGTGATAATTCTAAAAAAATTAAAATTAAAATTATAAAATAGTCCATATAAGGTCTCAATTCATTTTATCTATAATATTTATCCATTTTATCCCTAAATAATTTTTATGGTGATTAGACATACTAATGAGTAATTTCAATGCATGTGATTTTTACTTGAAAAAGCTTTTGTTGGGACTGTTTAACAAGGGACAAAGTTGAAAACAAAGATTAAGTGAAGGATAGAACGGTCCTTTGGCATCAATAAAACCAGAGTTATTGACCCCCTTCAGCCCCTCTCCCATTCGATGCAGAACAGAGCAAGGAGAAGAGAAACAGAGTGAGGCGAAGCAGAGGAAAAGAGCTGCACGCGCCACATGCAACACTGATCTTGGACTACGGTCAGTCTCTTAAACCTTCTCCCATCTTCTTTTTCTTCATCTGATCTGGTTACTTAATTCAGTTGATGAGGGAGATCAAAAAGCTGATCGATGATGATTCGTGTGTGAATCAGTTAGTGCATGCGGAAATCTTTTGCAGATTAAGAGTAGTGGAGAGTAGAGGATGCTTATAATAAGTTCATAAGAGCATTATATATATATATATATATATATATGCGTGTTTGCTGTTGAAGCCATGGGATTTTCGATTCTCAGTTATTATTTTTCAGGAGGTAAGGTGTCGGGTTTTAGATGAAATTATGAAATTTGGAATCGTTCAGATTTTATCACAGTGCTGAACACATTGCTTGCATGCACGACCTGATGAGCATTGGATGAGGGCCCATAATTTTAGTTGTAATGTCTCTAAAGGATTTTACAATAGCATTTCACACCTTTTTAATTTTTTGGTGCAATTTGGCCTTAATATATTTCCTGAGTTAATTTTTTTTAATTAAAACATAAATATCCTTCTAGTGGAGGCAATTCTATTCAAAGCACTGTCAGACACTAAATGTGGGTACCTCTTACAGTGAGGATTCGAACCTTAGTTCGTCGTGTTGTGAGGGATTAGCCCCTTCAGCTAGACTCAATCCTGTTGGTTGAGTTAATTTTTTTTAATTTTTTTATCGCTCTCTTTTTATATTCTTAGTAACCGTCTTTCATTTTTTTTTTTTAAACGTCCATCGTACATATTTTCTGGATTTACCTTCCATAATTTTAATTATGATTATTAATTATTTTCAGTGCAAAAAAATGAAAAATTAAATGCTAAAAGCTTTTAAAATGACCACTGGGAATTTTTTCCTTTTTAAAAAAAATTTTAATGGTAATTTTAAATGTTTTCTTCCATTTTTTTAGGACTGTTCATGAGACAGATCCTGTCCCGGTTCCATTCTAATAAACAGTAACAGGACAAAAAAACTGTCTTATACCTCATCTCATCCCGATGTTGTCTTAGTCCCAGTCAGGACGAAACGGGGTCGTTCTGATATGATTTTTTTTAATGTTTTTTGAGTTATTGGGCCTGTTATAATAAAATCTGATTTTTTTTTCTAGTTATAGTTTTTTTTGGGCTTAGCCCTTGTAAAAACATCTTTTGTTTTCTTTTTTATTTCTTTGGGCGCCCTTAAACAAAAGTTTAAAATATTACACATAATGGTCATTAAAAACTCTAAATAAAAGCTTTTAACACAATAAAAACTTGTTGAAAATTCTAATCATCAATAGTCTGAAATCATCAGCAAATATAAAAGCTCTAAATAAATGGATTTATAGTTTCATACAGTAGTCTCAAATCTTAAAAAAATATGAAAAAATAATATTTTATAAATATGATAAAATAAAAAAATAAAGGGACTGGGATGGGACAATCCCGTCTCGTGTCCCGTCTCGTCCCAGTCCCCTTTTTTGTCTTGTTTTGAAAATTTTTTGGACGAGCCTGTCCCGTCCCAATACGGCTGGGGCCAAGACAGACCGGTCTTGAACACCCCTAATGTTTTTAATATTGAAAAAATAATTAAAGATTAAGATTGAAAATATAGAAGATAAGTTCAAAAACATTTAAAAATGATTATTAAAATGTGAAGATGAGTATTGAAAATATAAAAAGAGATTAATGAAAAGATTAACTCAAGAAACGCTTTAAGAGTAAATTGCACTAGAATAGATGTTGACTACTGTTGGGGGAAAAAATACTTTAGAGTAATAATGCACATTAACCTTCAATTCACATGTCTTATTTAACTGACTATTTGGGGAGGCCTTATTTAACTGAGTATTTGGGAAGGAGCGAGGATATTAAAATTTCACTGCTTTTAAAAGTAAGAAGTAAAATTTCTCTTTGCAAATGAGGAAGGAAAAAAACACTAGTTAGAATGCTAGATTCAGCTTAATCCTTTATAAATATGTGTGCGAAATTATTAAATAACAAACGAATTGAAACGATTTAAGAAGAATGATAAATGCAGACGTATTAAATGATGAGAATTATAAAGGAACTCTTTTTTGGGGCCAACTATAAATGAATTTATTAAATATTGTGGAGTGCAAGTTATGGCTCCTCATCTATCTATGACTCCAATCATCAATCAATCGATTATATTTTTAAAATCTTGAAATACTCGATTAGTTTAGAAATAGGTCAAGTATGATATTATGACATCTAAATATATTCAATTAATGAGATTTGAATAATATTGAGATTTGAATATAATGAATTAAATGAAAAGTATTATTAATGTGATTTCAAATCTAATCAAATATATATTAGATTGTGTACATCAGCAAAAATTTCTAGTTATACATATAAGGGGCGCAGGGTGTCTCCATTTCCTTTATGAACCATTTCTCTCCATTTCTTTTAAACGATGCCGTTTCTTTTTAGTTATGTTCCTACCCAATAAAAAAATTGCACCCAGTTCTTGTTTTCTATCAAGGTTTTTAAATTTTGAAATCTCTTTTATCTGGTTTTCTCACTCCCTCCTTGTGACAAACATATTTATAATATATATGATAGAACCATCTTTCTTGCTTTTATTAGAGTTTTCTTTTCTAACACCAACTCCCATTCTTTTGCCATAGCCAATCCAATACTGCCATGCTTCTTCTAAATTATCAAATTCAAGATCAAGTGTGGGAGTCATATTTGTATTCATTATTTAGGACAAAGTGAGACTCTGAAAAAAAAAAAAAAGGCACTCGAATATATGAGTGCGCAGACGAAAAACAAGCATAAAAAATATTAAACTTGCTACACTCACCAATGCCAAATCCAACGATACCCTTTGTGAAATAAAGCTTATATATTTTTTAAACTTGCTGCATCAAGTAGATATTGAATTAGTAACGAATTAAAAAGAACTTACGGAAAAAAAGAAGACGACACTTGCAGATGAATACGAACCTTATAGCACAACGGAGAATTAAAATCCTTATTTTTGAGTATGAGATTCCTATTGCAATGATTGTTTTGAGTATTAAAATCCTATTGCGGTGCCTATTTGTTCTTTAATTTTGGATGGGGACATTAGTAAAAAACTGAACGACACAGTTTACGGGAAATGGAGGGAAATAGTTTGTAAAAGAAATGGAGACACCCTTGGCCCACATATAAGAGTTCCGATCACCTCTTCTCTCTACTTCAATCCTTAATTTCTAGCTCTACCCTTCCATCTCGCCAACAAATTCTTCTTACTTCCGATAATATTTCATATAGCATCAAGGGCAAGTTGTCAATATCCATTTATTTACTTTCTTTTCCTTTTTGTTACATATGTGCGTGTGTTCCTATATAAGTTTAATATACATATTTGAACGATGCAGAGAAATAGAAGAGAAATTAGATGGAGAATGAATTTGACAGTGTGTTTCCTAAATCTTATGTGATGAAAGGAGGAGAAGGTCCTCATAGCTATGCTCAAAACTCAACCGGTCAGGTATTTGATCTTAATATTTCTTCTTGTTATTTTTTGGTCCAGTTGATGATACTACTTGCTTCACAAATAAATTTTCATAAGGAAAAATGTACAAAATGAATTTGAATTTCTTACAAGTTATATTAATTGCAAAGAATTTCAGTATAAAAGATATTATGGATTTTTTTTAAATTTCGTGATTGATATATAAACGGTCATTTTTTAGTACATATTTTATTTCTATTAAAGTAATCACACATTTCTCAACTTTTTTTTTTTAATCATGCATCATTGTTTCTATTAAGTTTATTATCATAATTTAAACCAATATCTAAACTCATATATAATGACGCTTACCATCAGCAAGACAGCAACAAGCGTACTTTTTTTTTCTTCTAAGAAATTTTCAAATTTCATCACTAATTCACTGTTTTTTTGTATTATTTGATCTATTATCCTTTTTTTCCTTTGGCCAAATACTATAAGAAATGCGAATACATATAATCATATAATACCTGCAGAAATCAGCAATTGAAGCAGCCAAGCACCATCTTCAAAATGCCATTACCAAAAAGTTTGATTTAAAAGCCATTTCTGCTTCCTCTGAAAACCTAATCTGCATAGCTGACTTGGGTTGCTCTATGGGGCCAAACACCTTCATTGCAATTCAAAACATAGTAGAAGCAATACAACTTAAATACCAATCTCAAAATCAATCTACCCCGGAAATCCTAGTCTTTTTCAATGATCAAGCATCAAACGATTTCAACACTCTCTTTCAAAACTTTCCTCCCAATAGAAACTACTTCGCAGCTGGAATTCCTGGCTCTTTCTATGGACGTTTATTTCCAAAACAAAGCCTGCATTTAGTTCACACTTCTGCAGCATTGTCTTGGCTATCTGAGTTGCCCAAAGAACTTACAGATAGAAGTTGTGGTGCTTTGAACAAGGGGAGGATTTTCTATACTAATGCCCCAAGTGAAGCTTATGATGCCTATCAGAGACAATTTAAGATGGATTGGGAGGCATTTCTACAAGCCAGAGCACAAGAGCTTGTGGACAATGGGATCATGGCTTGTTTGATGAATGTTATTAATGATATTGATTTCAAAGTGGACTTGTATCTTGGGAAAGATTTTGAGCTATTGGGAAGCTGTCCAATGGACATGGCCAAATTGGTAAGTAACGAGACTTTGATTTGCTTGGCACATTAACTTTGAGAAACAATCTATATTGCTTATAGATTATAAATAGTATCTCAGTGGGTCCTAAATATATGAGTTAAATAACTAATTTATAAATATTAAAAAATTAGTTAAAATTAATTGTTTTATTATAAAAATGTCAGTTTTCCTAAAATATCTTCTTTATCTAACCATGATTACGATAACATAATAAAATTTTGCTAATGATTTTCTTGTCATTGCAGGGACTAATTCAAGAAGAAAAGGTGGACACCTTTAATGTTCCTGTATTTTACCCACATGTGAAGGACACTACTATAAAAAAGAGTTTTCACAACGCTAATTTACGGCGGTTATTAGAAAAAACGTTGTAAAAAATATGACGGTGACATTTTTGTAATTATAGGCGTACTTTTAACGGCAGTTTTTTAAATAACCACCGTAAAAAATACTTTTAACTGTGGTTTTTTAAATAACCGCTGTAAAAAGTTTATCAGGATTTTAAAATCCATCACGCGATAATTTTCACTTTTCAGAGTCAGAGCTCATAGTCCCCCATACCATCCCTACTCGATTTTCTTTCTCCTCCTACATTTGTCAGCGTTTATCCATTGCTTCTATCATTTCCGCCATGTTCTTCCATCACCGTCGCTGTTGCTGTTGCCGTCACCATCGCCTCATCCTCTTCATTCTTATTTGTGAGTTTTTCACCTCCATTCTTTCCGTGGATTTCATAGTTTTTGTGGTTTGATATGATTATTTTCTTTGGTTAAAAATATGATGTTTAATCTGAGTTTAAAGAGATCTGATTTTTAGCAGATCTGAGTCTTTGATTTTATCAGATCTGAGTCTTTGATTTTATCTTTTTTAAATCTTAGTTGCTTCGATCTGGTGGCTGAAGGTGAAGCTAAGTGACGCTATTACGGCGGGAAAGAATCTATATTTACTCCATCAAGATACTTTTAACTGGTGAGAGACTTCTTTTGAAGCTTTGTTCTCTCATTTCATCAAATCTGGATTTGATGAAAATACTTGAAACTAGTGAAGATTTCAGCATAGAACAATCAGAGGTAATGGATAACAACTGCTTTGTCATACCAAACATTGAATATTTTGTTTCTCGATTGCGAGCTGTGCTGGAAGTACTGATTGAGAATCACTTTGGAGTGGGAATTGTTGATGAACTTTTTGAGCGTTTCACTGAGAAAGTTAGAGAGTTCCCAAAAATCATGGATGTTCCCAAGCTTAAGTTCCATTTGTTTTTCGTTGTTCTTAAGCGCAAGGTAAAAGCATAAATAGGTATGCTTACAATTTGCTCATATAATTGTTAGTCTTGGAGTGATGCTTACAATAAGAGTGACCCTTAAAGTAAATTTGTATATGCTGGATCGATATTCTGAACTTACTGTTAATTCGGATATTGGGGTTTCCTCTTTCTTATTTAGAGCATCCAGGTGTCTTGTTACTATTGATTTTTCTTTAATTTGTTTTCTTACCAATGGGCTCCGTAATTACATAATTTTTTTTCTACATATAGTCTCAAGGTTTATTCTTCTTCTACATTTATGTTCAGCTTATACTAGTGGAGAAAAAAAATTATAATCAACGAAACTATTCTATCGCAAAAACATATATTAGAATTAGTAGTAGTGTTAAAAGATTTTAATATGGAACATTTTTATAAAAAGTTAGACTCAAAGGCTCACATTTTACAACAACCTTTTCTTTTCACTTGCTTAGTATTTGTTTCATTGTTTCAATTTAAAAAGTGCAAGATCAGTAGTAACATGAGCATTTTGAAAGTAACAGGAAAATAATGTCAGAATGTTAGACGCACTATAAAAAATTAGCACACTAAATACATCTGAAAAATAAAATGAGGGTGTTGTTTGCACCTTTGAAAAAAAATATTTAAGACCTGAATAGTTTAAACTCAGCACTAAATTTAAGAAATAAATATCTAGCTACTTGTATAATTATCAACTTTTTTCAAAAAATTATAATGTTTTAAAATAATAGTGCAAGGGCTGCTTGAAAAAGCAGCACACCTACCCAAACACACACATATATAAGGTTGAAATGTAAATTTACTCTTAAAGGTTTTACTTAGAAACGTCAAGCACTCGGAAGTTATTTTTTTCAGTTCAATATTCCTTCAAAAATTTAAAATCGTAGTAATTTAGCTGCCATCATTTAAAAAAAAAAAAAGTAATGGCAATCAACGTGTTTTCACCAACAACATTTAATTTCATTTTGGTTTTTGAGGTGTGGTAAAATTTCTGAATGTTTTGGGGACAATGAAAGTTAATTGGCCGTATAGTGGGGACTTTTTGAAATTTTTTCTAATATATCATTTTTATATTTTGAAAAGTGAGTTGTTGACATTGCAGACACATCTTTATTAGATTTTATTTTAAATATTTTTTAATTTATAAAATTTAAATTAAAAATTGATATATTAGAAATTTATTACAGAGTTGCATTCAAATTTGTTGAGTCAATATTTTTTATTAATAAAATTAATAGTATTAACATTAAGAGATTGAAAATATACTTCATAAGTTTGAGAAACTAAAAAATTTGATATAAATTTAGTGAACTAAACGTATGCTTTAGCATTCATTAGTGATTGGTATGAAGTTAAAAAGACGATTTGTATAGATTGAATCGATTTCTTCATAATTTTGTAAGGATTTGTTGCTCCCTAGATATGAGTAAATCGAAATTATATGCATGGTACTCCTCCGGTTCTTAATATAGGACCCAATTGTTGAGTTGGTTTTGGTTCTAAATATAAGACCCATTTCTCATATTTATCAATTTTCTCTAAATTACCCCTATAGATACTCCCTCAACCATAATCAAGTAGAAGAGGAAGATGAGGTATTAAGAAAGATGATTATGGTATTTTAGGAAAAATGTGTCACATTTCTTATAATTAACTAACTTACCTAACTTCCTTAATCTAATCAAATTAGTTAAATGGGTATTATATTAAGGACCGGAGGAGTAGTAGTTTATTTTATTGATTTTAACAAATCAAAACATAAAGAAAATTAACCTTAAATCCCTATTTTATGAAGAATGAGAGAATATAGAATTTCATAAAGAAAATTAACTTTAATTTTGGCAGTTTTTGAGAAAGAAATGTATATTCTATTATGTTGAGCAAAGCAATAAATCCTCCTTTTGAATCTCTTTATTATATTGATTCGTCAGTCCAAATTATACTTTATTCGAAGATTGGCATCACAAATGTCTTCCGCTTTGCTCACTCACAAAGAATATTGTTGCTTGTAGCTTTTTTACAATCGAATTGTTATCATATATATTATGTTATTATAATTGCTATGCTTGGAGTTTATATTTTATTTATATATAAAAACACATGAATTATTTCATACACGCACGTGTTTTAAATTTAATTTTATTTAACTTTTGTACCGAAATCTGATATGCTCAACGTAAAAGCACTATATAATTTTCATTTCAAATTTATTTTTTAAGCACGCTTTATAAGTGCCACCTGCAGATTAAACGGAGACATTTCACTTTAATTTTGACAGAAGGTTTTAACTATTTTATTTCTTCAATGTTTTATTTGTAGTGTCTTTCACTCCTCTAAACTTTACATTGTTAATTTTTTTTAAGCAAAAATGTGAATATTGAAATTTCAAAAATTGATAAAATATTCTGAATTTTTTTTTTCAATAATAATGACTGGTAAAAAAATTGTCATATAAAACTAATGGTGTTAAAATGAATAAAAAAAACACTTCATAAAGTTAGATGATCAAAATGACAAATTATATAAAGTTATATGACCAGATGTATACTTTTGTTATTAATTTATGATATCTGAAACTAGAGAGACACAACTATTTTAAGTTGGGATGTTAGTGACCTTAGGTCCTAAGTAACACATTATTTTATTCGTTTGTAAGCCTTAGAAGATTGAGATCAAATATGCCACGAAATGCAAAAGGCTCCATATATAGGTGTCATGAGTTCATCAAAGTAATGAGTAACGAAACTAGTTCTATATATGTGTGTATCATTTCACTAGCTTCTAAAAGTTTATTGTTGCCTTGTAGAAAGCCAAAAGTAAGGAAGTGAGAGAGATGGTGACAATCATCCCTAAAAGAGTGGAACACATATGGGACATTTGGAATGTCCGAGGAGCTATCATGTTTAGCTTCTTGGTTCAAGTGTTTCTGGTCTTATTTGCTCCCTTCAGACAATGCTCACACAACTTGCTGCTCTAATTCCTCATTTGGACAGCGTACATGCTTGCCAATTGGCCTGCCAACTTCACCATGGGACTCATCACCAACAATGCAATTGACAACAACGATGGTGGCAAAAAGGAAATCTTGAGGGCTTTGTGGGCCCCATTTGTTCTGGTACACTTCGGAGGCCCCGACACGATCACTACGTTTTCCATGGAGGACAACCAACTATGGCTGAGGCAAATACCTAGGTTGTTGTTCCAGGTGGGGGCGGCAGCTTATGTGTTTGTTCTCACTCTTCCACGAAACACACTGTGGGCTCCCACGCTTCTGTTTTTTGTTTCTGGATTCATCAAATGCTTTGAGAGGACTCGGGCCTTGTACATTGCCAACAACAATGACCTAGATGATGAATCAAAGGCCCCATATTTCCATCTGGAAAGTATTATTAAACAACCAACAGAAGAAGGAAACATTCTTTCTGCAGTGGAGCTTAGGCTTAAATCTATTTACGAATGGTATTACACTAAGATCTCAGCTTTTTGGTGGACCAAAGTAGGACGCCTTGTTCATTTGGTGGCCCTCGGCTCCATGGTGGTAGCCCTTTCCCTTGTTTCCACAACACAGAAAAAAATTCTACAACTACCAGTTCAGTCAAGTTTGACAATGTTGATGTTATAATAACCTACACACTCTTTTGTGGGGCCCTCTTGCTTGAATCATCTCTCTCTTGCAAAAATCATTACCTAGGGACTGTGATGATGGTGGGCTCTTCTCAATTTTATTTCGCCCATGGAGCCGTTCAATATCGGGATGCAATTTGATAAGGCTTTACTTGAGCCAATGTCGGCCCAAGAAGCCACGACAAGAGCCGATCTTCAAGCTAGTGAAGTTTGTAGAAGCAACTTTGGATCAAATTGCATATTCCCTTAGAATCAAAGAACTATTAGAGCCTTCCAAGTATAAAACCAAGACTCCATGTGATCATAAGTTGTAGTACTTTGTATATTTTGGTGGCATCTTTCCTTTCGATTCAAGATTCCACACCACTTTGAAGCAGGGAATAAGTTTTGCAAGACAAGGTGTAGAAGATGTCGTGGACAATGTAATGCATTATACAATAAATTTCATTGTGGATTATAGGGACATCGGCCACTACCCTTTTGCTAGAACCCTCGTATTGTTGCATATTGCAACTACTCTTTGCCACACTGATACACGTGATAATTTTAGTGGTCCTTCGCATCGGTATAGTAAACTTCTCTTAGATTACATGATGTACCTTCATCGTATGCAACCAGATATGTTGTCTAAAGTGCCTGGAATTAAAGAAGGCTGGTAACAAGAAACTATGGTCCACGGATCCATTGATATTGAATTTGTTGAGTTCTTTGAACAGCATGGTGTAACATCAAAGGATCATGATGAAGAAGAGGCTAGTCGATGTGTTCTATGCAGTCCACTAGGTTATGATGATAATGCCTCGCCACCATACCCAACTGTGTTATTTTTGGCATGAAGCATGGCCCAAGACCTTCAAAAATTCCAGCTGGACCGTAAATAGGAAGCTATCTCCAAGATATGGGTTCAGATGTTGATGTTTGCTGCAGCTCATTGTGACCTAAGTATTCATGCCAAACATCTTTCTAAAGGTGGAGAACTTATTTTCATTGTTAGAGCCGCCCTTGATCTGGCCTTCTATCGTGAACGGTGCTCTTCCAATGATTTGATATTTTGATTCATCTTATAAATGATGGTGTAGTTCATTATTCACCATCAAATAATATAGGTTAAAATACCCAAAACCTCACTAATTTTGGATCAGGTGACAACTAATTTATAGGGTAATATAACTTCATAATAGATCAGATTAGGAAAAATTCTTATATAACATTGATAAGTGCAAGGGCTTGTTATATAATTTTGCTATAACTCGATTTTATGTGAAAGTTATATCATCTCATAAATTTAGTTGTCAACCGATGACACTTCTTACTTATCAATAAATTTGGTTACATATAATTTCAACTTAAAGATTGTTATATAATGCTTTTTTGTTATAATTT